CTATGAAATTGTAAAAAACTATTGTAATTTCAATTAAATAGTTTTTTTTTACGTTAAACAAAAATAATTCGGGTTTGGTGTTCACATTGGGAAAATATTTGTAAGTTGACAAATAAACATGTTTATGCACTGAACGAAATATTTGTGATATTTTAAAATGCTGTTTGTTGAATAATAAATGTATTAGAAATGAAAAAAATAGTTTAATTGCTTTTGATAGAGTGCTATATTCGGCTATGCCGAATTTTAAATTCCCTCCACCAGCAAGCTACTTTTTATTAAAACCCATTTAACTATCTAATTTTTAGATAACTAGCCAAAATTTATGTCCAACTAATTTTGATTGGGTCCAGAAAAATGTATATTAATAGTCCAGCTCGAAAAATTTTAATAGAATGATTTATCTATACACAGATTTATCTATACACTCTATACACTAATTTTTGGAAGAGGACTTTATATAGGAGCTATGAGCAATTAAGGGCCTATCCGGAAAAATTTCGTAGAGTGATTCATATAAAGACAAAACATATTTGTGTCGAATTTTCTCAAGATAACTTTATTTGACAAAAAAAAAAAAAAAATGCGTTTAAGTGATTTTCGGAAGTGGACCTTATAAGGGAGCTATGACCAATTGTGGACCGACTGAGATCTACGTAATATGTAATCTATTCATATTATATTTGTATGTACAAAATTTTGTGTTGATACCGATATATTTGAGGGAGTTATTAACGATAAACTAATTTCCGGGAATATACACCTTTGTATGGGGGCTATGGGAAATATTGGATCAATTGTCATGAGTTTGAACATACTGGATCCCTGGCACAAAATAAAAATGTGTGACAAAATTGATCGAAAAATCTTTGGTATTTTCTGAGAAAACTACTTAAGAATTAGGGAAAAAAACGTTATTTTTTTCGAGGTAGTCTGAAATTTTTACTCATAACTTTTTACGTCGTGAACCGATTTTACTGATTTTCAGTACCGAATTGTACCGGATAATAAAGAATGTTTTGGGTGAATTTCGTGAATTTATATTGCTTCGTTTTTACGTGAGCGTGTTTTACACAGACAGACGGATGGACGGACTGACATAGCTAATCGTCTCAGAATTTCATAAGGATCAAGAATTTATATACCCCCTATCACCACTGATGGTGGTGGAGGGTATAAACATATTTTCCTATGAAAAAATTGTTTTAGTTAAAATAATATATTATTAATTTTAAAATGGTCTGTAGAAATAATTAAATGGAAACAAAAATCACTTAAAAGAAATTATTGTTAAAATATATGAATTTTAACAATAATTTTTAATTTTAGTGCAGTAAAAATAAAACATAATTAATATAGCTGAAATAAAAACATAAATAAGCGTAACACAACCTACTTCTATGAATGCTCATGCGAGACTGACTGGTTTTGTTTGTTTTTGTACAATGTGTGAGCTTATGTACGTGTAAAAGAAAAGTAAGAGAGCTCATTTGAGAGCTCGTTGCGTTTCGCTGGATTAAAGTCTTCATTCCAGGGTTGGCAAAATTGGTACAATTGTACTTTTTTTGGTACAATTCAATCAACAAAAGTACAATGGTACACCAATGACGCATTTTGTACAATTTTAAATTTATTTTCTTATTGAAATAATAATCTAAAATTGTACTTCTGACACAAAATTCAAAGGCAGGCAAGCCTTCGATAAATTCTGAAGAGGAAAAAATACAATTCTTGTTTATATTCTCTCATATTGTTTATGAAACCTGGAAGTGATTACAACCAGACAAGCTGTAATAACTTTTAACAAAGAGTATTTATTTAGAATTATTTTTTTATCCGATCGCTAAAATTTTAAATAATTCTAATGGTCTTTTAAGTGCTATTTGGAATAGACATTTTAAATACTTTTTACTAGACTTTGGACTAGTCTAATTAATTTTCTATCGTTTATAAATTAATCTAGGGACTTAGTCTTTGCATTATTTACCGACTGTCCTATTATCTAGTTTATAGACTACTCTATGAATTTGCCTTTGGACTAATATATAACATTCTAATCTATAGACTAGTCAATACTCTAATGTCTAACCTATAGACTAGTCACTACTCTAATGTCTAACCTATAGACTAGTATATTGTCTTGTTTATAGACTACTCTATTGTGTAGTCCATAGACAGGCTATAGACTGTGTAGTCTATGGACCAATCTGGTGACCAAATGGACTTGTTTATTGACTAGTCTAATGACTAATCGATGGGCTAATACAAATGAACTTTTAATTTTGAAAGTGCTTCATATTGATATAGAATTTCCAAAAAATTTGATTTGGTACAAATGGAATCAAAATAGTACAATTGTTAATGCTGTTTTGTACAATTTGAAAATTCTATTTTCCAACCCTGCTTCATTCATATCAACAGCAAATTGTTTTTACTTATCTACTTTAGGGCATGATCCACTTCGATTCCTTTTGGTGGATGCGTTGACAGTCTTTGACTTTTCTGTAAGAGAATTCTTATTTTTAAAAATTCTATTTACTGTGGCCCTGGAGCACTTGTATTTTGTACAAAGTTCATCTTCGTCAAGTTTTTTCGCGTCAGAAATAATATTTAATTTCTGTGTTATGTTTCAACTTGTATGTTTTCTTTTTGCACTCATTTTTTCAACACTTGATTGCTGATCACTTTTTTATTTGCATTTTTCTTCTTTACTTTTTTTATTTGCAGAAAAAAAATTAGTATTTAATTTTAGTATTTTAGTACATATTTAATTTAATATTTAATTTATATGCAACGCTCGTTATTGATAGTTCAACTTTTTTTCCAAATGCTCATATAGGAATTCTAGCTGCAATACTTTCCTGAATTGAATTTTTGTTATTAATTCATATGGGAGATGCTATACCCCCTATTTCTAGTCCTCCCATTTTTCATTCAAATTGTTTATATGGATTTCAATGTTACCCATACAAACTTTTAGAATTTTAGATCTAATACATTCCCAGATATACGAAATTTATTATTTTGTTCATATGGGATATGCCACTCCCCTATTTCTAATCCGCCAAATTATTACCCAAATATTCACATGAATGACATATTTGTTTGTTTAAGAGTTTCCTAGATATACAAATTTTTGTATTTAATACATATGGGGGTGCTACGCACCCTATTGCTAGTCCTCCAATTTTTCCACCAAATAATCATATGGATGTCAAAATTGCCCCACAAAATTTGAGGACTCTAGTTGTATCATGTTCCAAGATATTCGACATTTAAAGAAGTGGGCTTGGAACCCCTCCCACTTGCAATTTCAAAATAAAAAGTTGCATATAGTTCCTTCCAGATATAGGGGAACATACACTTTAAGAAGGTCGCTTCAGTGGTTTAGCCTCTTATAAGGTACAAACAAACAAATAAACAAGCATGGATTGATTTTCTGTTTTGCAATCGACTTCTTTTTGACAATTATGCGAGATTTTTTTCTTTATTGTTTTTAAAAATGAATTCTTAATTCATAAGTCAATTAAGAGGATAACGCAAATAAACGAACTCAATTAAACGAAAATTTTATATAATACATTATATGGAATTTAATTTTAGCATTTTTTCATTATCAAATAAGTGGGCAAATCAATAATGCAGGGTGCAATTAAGCGGAAACTACTAAAGTCTTAAATTTTTACTCATAAGTTTTTACTTTGTAACCGATTTCACTGATTTTCAATACCAACCTGCTTAGAATAGTGGTGAATATTTTCATTGAATTTGACTGATTTCTTTTGCTTAGTTTTAACGTGAGCGTGTTTGAGGCAGACATGCGGACAAACAGACGGACATATCTAAATCCACTCAAAATTTCATAAGGTCCAGAATATATACAGTGGCGAGCAGATTCATGTTGGTAAATTTTCTAATAAATAGCCCTAAAAATTTTTTTATCTAAAATATTTTCACGAAAACTCACATGTTTGTTATACATTTAGTAGACTACATTATAGTGTAATAAATTTATAAAAAAAATTCAGTTACATCTCTGGTTATCGTACAAGTTCGCAACATAGGTCTATAGATATAGTTGATAGTTTTTGGCACATGTACTCTTATTTTTCGTCTATTTTTTATTGATATCGACTTCAATGATAATTAGAATAAATTTAAGCACGATTTTCGGAATAAATTTAAGCAATTTTAAAAATTTCTGTGGAAATAGGACACATAATCGAAATTCTGACGGAAAGGGACAATAATGCAGACAAATTGCTAAATTACTAAATTTCGCTTCTAGGCTCAGAAGCTTGAAAAATTGAATAGGAAATAAATTTACTTAAACTCCATAAAATATATCATAGTACAATATATTATTATATGGTAGGACAATAAATTCAATGGACAGTTTATTAATCATTGTGTATAATTGATTTATCATTAGCAATCAAGCAAAGTCGATATCACTGAAAAACTCGACGGAAAAGTACATAATAAATTTACACTTGAAATATGCCAAAAACTAACATATGCAAAAGTGTTCGAATAGACCTATGTTGCGACCGTGCCCGATAACCGGAGTTGTAATTGATTTTTTTTATAAATTTATTACAATATAATGTAGTGTACTAAATATAATAAACATGTGAATTTTCGTCAAAATATTTTAGATAGAAACAATTTCTATTAGAAAACAAATTTTATTAGAAAATTGCACGCCACTGCCTACTTTGTTGGGTCTCAGAATAATATTTCTTGGTGTTACACACAAAATAACAAACTTATATACATATACCCTCTATCACCACTGATGGTGCACATATTTTTTCTTTCGTCACTTTTTTAGCAAAGGGTTCAGAAGAGGACCGGATGCAATTAGTGTTTAAGCAATTTTATCAAATATTATTTCGTTTCACCAATATTATTTCAAAATATTATTTCGTTTCTAATATGAAAAAAAACAAACTTGTAAAATTATATACATATATTAATGTATATTTTTTAAATTTTAGCGCGATGAGTCTTCTATCGATTTATCTAAAATATTTGACTCCAACACAACAAATACGAGTACAATTATGGCCTCAATTACAAGTACTAATTTAAGTAACGCAGAAAGTCTTAGCTCTAGTCTAACGGCTTTAAATAAAACATCTATGGATGGAGGAGATAGTGCAGATGTTCCCCAGAAACAGCAACAGCAGAAACCAGATTTAAGCATCAGTGGAAATATATGTTCAACCTCAATATCGTCATCAACACCAACTACTACATCTGAAGGCGGTTACAATAGCAGTGATAATGTACTATCTTCAGCTTCTACGTCTCGTAAAGCAAGTACAGCTTCGGAGTATACATCTTTATCGTCGGATTACACACCGGACAATACAATTACTCCGAACTCTGCATTTTTAGCGGAAAATGCGCGCAACACACGTTATTTTGAACTAAATGAGACCATTGATATAACATTAAATACGAATAGTAATACTAAAGAAAATGCTCCAAACACGACACCTACATCAAACACCAACAATGAATGCACTGATGAAAATGCATGTCCAAACGATGCTAAAACTCAAAATGATCCTGATGAAAATTCAAATAATAAACAAGGAGCTCAACCAACAACTAATACAACGGTTGCAAATCCAACAGCAGCTAGGAAAATATCCCGGTTTTACGTTAATCCTGTAGTATTACCAACCTCAAGTGGAGTTTCCGTCGTAACTACTAGTGCACCATCGACAGGTATAAACGATTTATATAAATTTTTTTGTATATTTATTTATAAAATTTTTCACCAACCATTAAAAAGGACGTAACGAAACATTGGTCTTAACCCAAATAATTATACAGTTAATCAATTAAGTAAGGTGGCGTGTCATAATGTCCATGGACGTTATGACTAGGTATGCCAATCGGGTTTGATTTTTAGAAATCCAGGTATTCGAGATTTTCTATAGCCGAAAAATATAACAAGTAATAGTGCTATATTCGGCTGTGCCGAATCTTATATACCCTATAGTGTATTTAAAAAATATAAATTTTAATTTATTTCATTTTCCCGACTATATCATTATTATAGCAATAGCAAAACATAGTGAACAACAACAACGCTAAACGAAATAAACACATAAAAAACAAAGTACACTAGGCAGTAAAATCAACAGACATCCAAACAGACGAAACGAAATACACAAAAAAAAACAAAGTAAACAACGCAATGAAACCAACAGAGTCTGTTGAACAGACATCCAAACATACGAAATTCAATACACCAAGAAAACAAAAACAATTTGCGTAAATGTACCAATAGTCCGCAGTTTAACGTTTTTCTCTTTTTCAAACTATCCCCCCAAAGAGTCGGAAAATGTTATTATGATGATCAGGGATGGAAAATGATATTTTGTTTCAGTATCAAAAAATATTTCAGAGGGTACTTTTTTGGATCTTAGAGTACTAAAATATTTTTTTTTTTTTGCTGAAAGTTGTTAATTTTTTAAATACACCTTCACATATTTAGACATTTTTTAATAATCGACAACAGAAGTAGAAAGGGTATTATGCATATAGGCGAAAGTGATTGTCAAAGACCTAAGTCCCCTGTCAAAAACCTAACTGGTGAGAATGTATTAGTAGAAGCACAAAAATGAACACAGTTGTTCAAAAGGTACTAAATAATAAATGTATTTCTGATACGTTATTTTTTGTATGTTATTACTGGGATTTTATATACTAGTGAATGAAAATAATAGTTAATTAATTTTTTTCAGAAGATATTTCATCTTAAAACATATTATAAACACGTCTTTTTGATATTTTTTTCTGTACTAATGGAAAAAGAAAAAAAAGTATGTGAAATACTTTTTTTATTTTCAATACGAAAATTTACAACTTTTCTTTTTTGAGTTTTAATTAAAATGAAATGTCAAAGAATAAAAAATATTTTTTTTCGTTTGTAAAATATAAATTATTTTTAAATAATAAATATTAAGTTTAAGTGATAAGAACAACTATTAAGTGCTAATATCCTCCTTTATTCGATATTCGAAAACATCAACATTTAGAAAAAACAGACACTGGTAAATCAGAAAAACCGGTTTTAAGACCGATTGAAAAACTGAATCGATCACTCTAATATACATATATTGATATAATGAATCTTTGTCCGTCCTTCAATGTTAACCTTTTAGATATAATTTGATGAACTTCAATGTCCATGGTAGCATATAGCTACCATAAAAGTATTACCCCGATATTGTACTTCGTAAATATGTATATTAAAATCAGTCATGATACAATTTGTTATGTTTTAATAAATCCTGTCTTAAAGAAATTCAGGCCACATTTGGCCCTACTCAAGGATGAATTTAGGAATTCAACTTATTTATTTATATTTATATTTATTTTATATTTACAAAGCAAGCGTAACAAACAAGTCGATATTAAGGATAAATTGTGTTACCATGTTAGTTAAACTGAAAAATTTGATTGATAATAGAATGAAACCATAAAGTGTTATATACCATTGTAAAGCTAATGAAATTACGCGTATGCTGATGTACATATTAAGTATGGTAGATAAATACAGCTAACAGAATACCTGGGACAAAATAGAGTTTAAAATATTAAGATAAAATACAAAACATAAAGAATTTCGAAAAACAGAATAAACCATTTCGGTGAAATTTAGGTGAGGTGATTCAATAGATTTCAATTGATTACATTATATATTTCTATGTCAAAATATGAAAAACTTAAAATTTTCCGAAAAATTACGACATTTGTAATCATTTTGGTGTTGTATACAAATTTGTGTATGTCATTGAAATCGTCTCCCAAGGACCTTTCATATGATACTAAATTTGCATATGGTTTATTTGTCAAAAATGTGAAAAAAATAACATAAAAACCCTAAAAAGGACCTTTTTATCCTTTGATCCAGCTCAGCAAATATTGACGTCAGGACAAAAATTTTGAGAAATGGTATCTTAGAATGAACTAAATTTTCATTTTCGGTGGGAACATCAGCAATTTCCATTTTGGGGCCACCCTAATATACATATGTGTTATTAAATTAAAATTCGATGTACATAGGTGTTCATTTGTTAAAAAATCAATAGTCATATCAAATTCTACACATGAGACCATACATAGGACCATCCATGACATGAAACAATAATTTTTTTTTTTTTTTTTAAAGTCCAAATAATTTTCACCAAAAATTTCTCTTATTATCTATGGTTGAATTCTTAATTTCAAAACATATCATTTTATATTAGATAGAAATTGAGTCCTTCGAGCTTCTATCATTTGGAAATAATTAGTTTTAAAGTCAAATATTTTTTCAAAATTGAAATTTTTGGTAATTTTCTCATATAATATTAACAATGGAATTTAATTAGATTAATATTCATATAATGTCAATCAAGATAAAAATTCGAAATGAGCTGCATTGGTTATTTGCAAAACATACTTCTAAAAAGTGGCTTTTAAAGCATTCTTAGAATTTCAAATTTGAACTTTTTCACAATAAATTGACATTTTACATACAAAAAATATTTTAACCGGCAGTATATCCATATTGAGATATTGGCCCTGAGAGTATCAAATAAGACTCGGGAGTATCACGGTACTTTTGAACATCAAATAGTATCAAAAAAAGTACCATCGTACCAAATATGCCATCCCTGATGATGATTTTTAGTTATTTCAATTATGTGTTTAGTTAAGTTTTAGATCAGAGGAGATAAAGATTGCCATTTCATAGCACGCGTGATAGGGTAAGAAAATTCTGCTGACGCTAAGTTGATACACATACACTATAGGTTTAATTCTTCTTCTTCTTTTTATAATGAGCAATATCAGTTGGTTGGCTCTCAACTTTAAAAACAAAATCAAGTCAGTTGCTGATCAGAACTTGTCATAGTAAGGTCTGTGCGCGACGTTTTTAAAATACACACAGAAATACAACAACAAAATTTTGAGAAAGCCGAATTAATGTGGGAGAGCATGAGAGAACAGTTGATAGTTTTTCATATATAGACTTTGATATACGCTGGCTGTCAAAATCCATAATAAATATATGACAGTTAGCATATACATTTTAGTTTGTAATCATTTTATTAGTATACTTGTATTTTAAATTGAATTCTGTTCTCTGAATATTTCAACTGTTTTCTTTCATTTAAATAAATTTTTGTCAAATAAATCATTTAATTTGAAAACTGACCGTACTGACCGATGTCACTAACTAACGTCAAATAGAGAGGAAATTAGTAATCCTACTTAAATTTACTCATTTCATGGAGCAAAAATACCATTTTTTCTATGAAATATAGATCAAACCTTAATAAATTTATGCAGCTTTTCTTATTTATTTACATTTTTATTTAAAAGATGCCGACTACTGGGTGATGCCGACATTAGGTGCATTTAGCCTACACAAGGCAATGAAACACACAGCCATCCAAACATACGAAACGAAATACTCAAAAAACAGAATACACAACGCAATGAATAAGCACACTGCTTGTTGTTGCTTATTTTTTATGAAATTTTCAGAGGTTGTCTCCGATGTTTATGGACGGATTTTAATGATTTTAAATAGGAAATCATGTCTGATAGAATTATTGAAGGTTTGGATCCCGAAGATATCTGGGGTGTTCAGAAAACTAATTTCAACAGACGGACATGGCTTAACCGACTCCGCTATCTATAAGGATTCAGAATATATATACTTTATTAAAATTATATTTTGGAAATTACAAACGGAATGACAAACTTATATATACCCTTCTCACGAAGGTGAAGGGTATAAAAAATTTTTCAAAAAAATCTTAATAATTTACCGCAAAAATCACATTTTCTATACCCAGTGTGCTTTGCTACCCTAAAACAGTATAAATAAATACTGCACTTTATGATTTCTGAAGATTCTAGTTCTATTAGTTTCCCAGTTATACGAATTTTTATTTTAATGAATATGGGAGGTACCATAGCTCCTTTTGATAGTCCTATGTTCACATGAATGTGAAAATTCTTCGTGCAAAATTTGAGGATTCTAGATTCAAATATTCACATGTCAGAGTTTTTAGCGCAAAATTTAAGGATTTTAGCTCTAATAGTTTCTTAGATATAAACATTTTTGTATTTAATTCATACGAGAGGAACCCCAAATGAATGTCTGCACATTTTGTATTTAATTCATATGGGAGATGTCACTCCTCCTACTGCTAGTCTGCTAATTTTTTGTCCTAAGTATTCATGTTGATACTAAAGTGGCTCCGAAAAATTAAAAGACTCTAGATGTTATATTTTCTCAGATATACTTGTTCAATTCACAATCAAGTTGTATATTGTACCTACTAAAGTGTAGTAACAGGGATTGTGAACAGATATTTGCAGCAAGTCATAAGTTTATGTTCTCAATGAAAAAAAAAACAATCAAAACAAATATACATAACAATATCAAAAGATAAAAAAATCAAAAATATTAAATTAATTAAACATGCGAAGTAAACCAAATTAATTTCTTTGAATTTTCAATTCTTTTATTTTCTTTATTCCACATTTTAAACTAATAAATAAACAGTTTTTAATAAAATTTAAGTTTTTTTGTTTTGGTAAACAGCTGTTTGTTTTTGATTTCAGTGTTACCACTTTATCGTTTTTTTATGCTAAAATCATTTGAATTTTTTGTTTATATGTTGAAATAAACAATTGGCAACACTAAATTTTCTTACAAC